GAAGCTGGTGAGCACAGGCACCCCTTCCGCGGCTTCCTCAGCCCGCAGCAGGCTCTCCGAGTCCCCAGGACCTGTTCCTGTTGTGACGCCTCTTCCCTCTCCTGTAGACGTCCTCCTCCGAGAAGGCACTAGCCAACCAGTTCCTGGCCCCCGGACGAGTGCCCACCACCGCCAGGGAGCGGGTGCCCGCCACCAAGACGGTCCATCTGCAGTCACGGGCACGGTACACCAGCGAGATGCGGAGTGAGCTGCTGGGCATGGTAGGGCACCCTCCCTGGTCCTTGGGAACCCTTCTGTCAGGTACAGGGACCCTAGGGGCCTCTGCCCTGGGCCATGAAACAAGGCTTCCCACCAGAGGGGCATTCTGGTCAAGGTTTTGCTAGAGGAAGAGGAATTTGTTTGGTACGTGGCAAAAGGTGCCCATGTCTGGTTAAGTGCAAGATTTGGCTCCTGGCTTGCCACCTGCCACCGATAGACAAGATTTTTCCATCTGTAAAATAGGATGACAGCTCCCTTTCTGAGAACTTTCCATAGATCAACTAAATCATTCAAAATATGAGCTGCTGTCATTATTAATAGTTGAGGAAACTGAGGGTCAGAGGTTGTGGGACTTGCCCGGGGCCCTGACTAAGGATACAGAGGTTCTGAGAGCAGAAAGGACAGGTCTGGGGGCATGACAAAGTAGATGACTTCCTGCCTGTCCCTTTTTCCCACAGGACTCTGCTGGAGGTGAGTGGCCCTGAGCAGAACAGGACTCAAGTCCCAACTGCCTGGGACATAACATGTGACCTTGCTGCTCCCCATCCCTTGTGCCTCATCCGGCTCCCACAGGGTCCTCCACAGCCCAGGGAGTGTCCTTGGGGGCATTACCGCGTCATGTCTGGAGAGGGTAGCTGGGACAGAGGAAATGGTCCCCAGAGGAAAACAGAGGGAGGGACCTGGGGCCAGGGGAAGCCCAGGGGGGTGAGGAAAACATCCCAGACAAAAGGGCATTTGAGCTAGAGCTTTGAGGAGTGATCAGGAGCCTGCTGGGCAGCAGGCAAGTTGGGAAAGGGCCTATGTGTAGCAGACCCATCCCAGGTAATGGTCAAGAAACCAGAATGCACCAATCCTCTCCTCCTTTCTGCTTGGCCTGTTCCTCTTCCAGAGCCCAAGCTGGATGTGAGGAAGAGAACGTGAGTGTCCTCAGCCCTCGGGCAGCGGGGGGGCGGCGGGGGGTGGGGGAGGCTGGACAAATCTTGGACCACTGAGGCGCCACCACAAGCGTCTAAATCACCCATCAGACGCCACTTCTGGGAATGCTTTACCCAGAAGCCAAAGCAAAGAAGGGGAAACAGTCCCAAGTGGGGCAGTGGCTGCAGCCATAACCCCTGGGTTCCCTGGGAACATGTTTGTCTCTTCCCCCACCTCCCACCCCCCACCCACTCCCATCTCGTATCTACCTGTCCACCCGTGTGTGAGGTCAGTGGGGTGGCAGGTCCCAGGCCCAGGGATGAGAAGCAGTCGGCAGCCGAGCTAGACCTCGTCCTGCAGCAGCACCAGAACCTCCAAGAGAAGCTGGCAGAAGAAATGCTGGGCCTGGCCCGGAGCCTTAAGACCAACACACTGGCTGCCCAGAGTGTCATCAAGAAGGACAACCAGGTGTGAGGACTGTGGGAACTGCGGCTTCTGCCCTGGGACATCAGAGAAGGTTTCCCAGTAGAGGGGCACTGTGGCTGGGACTTGGCCGGATAAATGCAAATTTGGTAGCAGACAAGATTCCCAGCTGAGGAACCAGCACCTGCCAGGGCCAAGAGGTGCTGACTTGCCCCAGGGCAATAAGGAGAGTCCACACTCAACCCCAGTCCTCTTTATACTCTCACCCGTAGACCCTGTCGCACTCACTCAAGATGGCCGACCAGAACCTGGAGAAGCTGAAGACGGAATCAGAACGGCTGGAGCAGCACGCACAGAAATCCGTCAACTGGCTGCTTTGGGCGATGCTTATCATTGTCTGCTTCATTTTCATCAGCATGATCCTCTTCATCCGAATCATGCCCAAACTCAAATAAAGACCCGCCTGGCCCAAGCTGGTTAGGCTCAGTGGATAGAGCATCGGCCTTCGGACTGAAGGGTCCCAGGTTTGATTCCGGTCAAGGGCACATCCTGGGGTTGCAGGCTCAGTCCCCAGTAGGGGGCGTGCAGGAGGCAGGCAGCTGATCAATGATTCTCTCATCATTGATGTTTCTCTCTCTCCCTCTCCCTTCCTCTCTGAAATCAATAAAAATAAATTTAAAAGTAAAAAGACCCGGACTGGCCCACCCTTTCTGTCCTCTGTCTGCCCTCCACCCCTCTCCAGAGGTACCCTTTGGGGTGGACAAGATGGGTAGGCCCTTGGAGGCCCCCGAGAGCCGCAAAGACTACATGAGCAGAGGGGGGAGAAGATTAGGCTGGGAACAGGGATAGTGACTCAGCAACCACCCTACTTTCCCCTGGCCAAGGTGGGAAGCCCCTTCCCATCCCCTCCCCCAGTCTCAGAGCCAACTAACAATGCCTTCAGCCCTGTGGACTCAGGAGGGTGGGGAAGGAATGGGGCCATGCCTAGAGGAGGGGGCATCAGTGCTAGGCCTTCCTTGCAATTGAAGGTGATAATTTAGGGACAGTGCTCAGCACAGCCTAAGCTCTCAGGACACTGCAGATGCTTCACACAGTGATTCAGCAAACAGGAGGGTTTGTGGAGACCCTGCCCTGGGCACATGGGCATATGAGCAGGCACTGTGGGACACAGGTGGAGGTGCCCGCATGGACCTCCACTGACATGGATGCAAAACCACCAGAAAGAGCTTTATAGAAGCTCTAGTGGCAGCTTTTTAAAAATAGATCATAAAAAGGAGCCCTAGCTGGTTGGCTCAGTGGATAGAGCATCAGCCTGAGGACTGCAGGGTCCCAGGTTTGATTCCAGTCAAGGGCACATGCCTGGGTTGCAGGCTCAGTCCCCAGTAGGGGGAGTGATGATTCTCTCTCATCATTGATGTTTCTCTCTCTCCCTCTCCCTTCCTCTCTGAAATCAATATATATATATATTTAAAGGAGACTCGTGCCTGAGACCCAGGAGTGGTTCGGTATTAGGGAGCCTGTCAATAGCCACATGAATGCAGCAGGAAACCACCAGAGTAAACGGTGAAATGGTGCTTTGCACTGTTGCTGAACAGTATACAAAAGAGTATCAAAATAAGGGAGAGAGATTTTTTCCCCCTCATTTAATTGCAAAACCTCAAGGCAAAGGCAGCATTGAGTTTAATGGGCAAATAATGAAAGTTGTGCCATCAGAGTGAAGAGGTGGGGATGCCCACGGCCCATCCACCTCCCCCAATGATTTAACATTGTCAGGAGGTGTTCAATGCAACTAGACAAGAAAATACACGAGACTGGAAAATTAGAAAAGAGGCAAAATATTTACAAATGATATGACTATATGAAAGACAAAGTCTATTTTTTATTTTTATTTAATTCTTATTGAATTAATTGGAGTGACATTGGTTAATAAAATTATATAGGTTTTAGGGGTACAATTCTGTACATCATCTGTATACTGTATTGTGTTCACCACCCCAAGTCAAGGCTCCTTCCATCACCATTTATTTATATTTTTACTATGTTTTTATTGATTTTTAGAGAGAGGATGGGAGAGAGAGAAAAACATCAATGTGAGAAATATTGATCAACTGTCTCCTGCTTGCCCCCTACTTTGGATCAAGCCCACAACCCAGGCATGTGCCCTGACTGGGAATTGAACCCTTGACCTTTTGGTGCATTGGGTAATGCTTAACCAACTGAGCCACAATGGCCAGGGCTCCTTCCATCACCATTTTAAAAAGCTATTTTAATAAGAGAATTCAATAAACAAGGGATTTAATGAATATTTAAATTAGTTTCCTAGAGTGGGTGGAGGTGGAAGAGGGATAAATGGCAGGGATAAATGGTGATGGGGAAAAAATAAAATAAATGAAAAAAATAATAAAATAAACTTGTTTCCTATGTGCAAAAAAAGCTGCAAAATATATTGAAAGATTCTCTATTTGCATGGTCATTTGCATAGCATCAAAGAAGATACACTACCTGGTTAAACTAACTTCCCTGATAGAGGAAGAGCTACAAAAAAATCAACAGGACAAAAAAGATTTGCAGAAAATAAGAAATACAAATGGTTTCTAAATTTTTTCACTTACCAGATTAAGCGAGATTTAAAACTGAAAATATATTTGCAGAAAACCGTGGTAACATCAGGGTGGCAAAGGTTTGGGGAAAAAACCAGTGTTTCACTGCTGGTTATATCAACAGCACAACCCCATCGAAAAACAACTTGACAGTATCTTTCCAAACGAAAATACAGAGGTCTCTTTGCCTTGCAAGGGCAATTCCACTTCTCCCCCATATGTGCCCAAAGGAATTTGCACGTGAATATTTTTTTGCAGTATTGTCTGTAATGAGGAAAATATTTATATTTGTTTGTCATTGAAATAGGATCGCCCCAGGAAACACAACGAAGTGCTGCTTCTGGAGACTAGCGGATGAGACATTCACTTTTGCCCTATGCATCTTTTCTATTGTTTGAACTTTATAAATATGCCGCTATTTAGAGAATGTTTTTTAAAATATAATTTCTTTGTAAATAGATGGGTGCAAGTTCGCCAAAGCCACCGGTTTTCAGACGAATAAACTGAGGCTCAGAGAGGGTGACTCACCGCCCCAAACACACGGCAGGTTGGGGTCCTCCTAGGACTGGAATTGGAGTCAGTCAAGGCAGTGAGTCCGCTTCCCGCGTCGCCAGGCCCCGCCCCCTCGCCGCCAGCCCCGCCCCGCCCCTCGGCCCCGCCCCCGCGTCGCCAGGCCCGCCCCGCCCCCGCTTGGCGGAGCGACCCCAGCAGTTGGGTCCAACCTGCAGCTAAGGCATAATTGGCACTCAGGCTGCGCGGAGGGTGGACCCAAGCACCGAGCTCCGGACGCTGGGACAGGTGACTCTGGGCGGGAGCGGGAGCTCGGGCGGGAGCGGTTCGTGCGGCGCGTAGCCCGAGCGGCGGGCCCTGGGGTCTCCTCGGGGGCGGTGTCACTGGACTCCGTGCGCCTCAGCGGGCGAGCCCCGGGCAGCGCGGGACTAACCCCAGCCAGGCCCCGGCCGCGCGGCGGCGTCAGGGTCATTTGCATAGCGCCTTTCCGGGTTCCGCAGTCGGAGTGCTCTGAGGACCAATCGTGTGCATCTATGCAAATCAGCGGGGTTGGGGCTCGCGCTAGGGGCTGGGAGTTGGCTGTCACAGGTTCGCTCTCCGCGGGTCCTGCAGCGGGGCCCCGTCATGCGCGTCCTCCTGTGCACAGGCCGCCCGCAGACCACCCCCGCCACGTGCGGGCCACGACGCCCCCCGCAGGACCCGCCCGTCGGCCCCGGGACGCCCGAGCGGCTCCTTCCCGAGGTCTATGCCCGCCCGGGAGCCCCCCCACACCCACGGCTCCCGGGGGGACCTGCAGTTCCGCCCGCCTGGCCCAGGGCCTCCGGTAAGTGTGACTGGAGGAGGGTCCCCAGGCCGAGCCTAGGCAGAGGATTCCTTACCCCCAGTTTAAAGGATCCCAGCTTCCCGATAGCCTCGTTCATTTGAAACCAGCGTCCGCTGTCTCTGTGCTAACAGCAGCCAGGAGCTCCCAGGGCAAGGCCCAGGAAGATTGTATTTGAGGATGAACTGCCCTCCCGGGCCCTCCCCTGCACCCAGAAGCCTGTTGAATCCATCCCTGGGGAGCATGTGCCTAGGCCCCACCCAGTGCCCGACTATGAGCTGTGAGTGTCCCCCCTGTGGTTGCCGGTGTCTGGGACAGTGAAGGGGCACCGAGTCTGGGGCTTTGACAAGTGAATAAGAGAGAAAGGACATTTGAGCAGGGAGCCCAGCATGAGCAAAGAAAAACAGATTATACTGACTGGGGGAGAGGCAGGGATTCTTTACACTCACACTCTGTCCTGCTTTCAACACCCCCTCTCCTCCCAGCAGTAAGTACCCACCAGTGAGCAGTGAGAGGGAGCGGAGTTGCTACGCTGCTGTGTTCCGGGACCAGTATTCGGAGTTCTTGGAGCTCCAGCAGGAGTTGCGCTCTGCACAGGCTAAGCTCCAGCAGCTGGAAGCCCTGCTGACCTCACTGCCCCCACCCCAAAGCCAGGTCAGCAACCAGGTGGAAACCCTTGCCCCACAGCCCTTACAGGTGGCCAGACCCTGGCTCTCAGCACACCCATCAGGTCTAGATCTCCAAACTCTTCCTCCCCTAGCCTGGGCGGGCACCACCGCACGTGAGCCACCATCAGCCCTGAAGTGCTCCCTAGAGGGGTCACTGTGTCTGTGAGCCTGTTTCCCCATCTCTCCTTGGGTCCAGCACTCCCTTAGTCACCCTCCTCCTTCTCCCCTCAGAAGGAGGCTCAAGTAGCCGCCAGGGTCTGGAGAGAATTTGAGAAGAAGCGGACGGTGAGTCATGGCCTCCTGAATCCCACAGCCTGGCCTTTGCACCCCTGACACTCCCATAAGTGCCCAGTTTCACAGGAAGAAAACCAAGGCTCAGCGAGGAAAAGCAAACGGCCAAGCAGCTTGAGGGCCATAGGCCAGACTACCACAAGGACTTCCCCGCTCTCATCCTACCCAGGACCCTGGCTTTCTGGACAAGCAGGCTCGCTGCTGTTACCTGAAGGGCAAACTAAGGCACCTCAAAGCGCAGATCCAGAAATTCGACAGCCGAGGAGACAGCGAGGGCTCTGTGTACTTCTGAGCATCCTGACAGCCCACCTTGCGCTCACTTCTCTCTCCCTCCCAGCCTTAGTTCCTGCTCTTCCCCCTCCTAGGGTAGCCTTCCCTGGTTGCACATGCCTCAGCCTTTGAGGCTTTGGTCCTGATGACCCCCTCCTCCAGGAATTCTTCCCAGGACCTCCTCCGGGACCCCCAACCCTGATCCCATGGGGACCCTAGATCTCAACTCATCCTCTGGAAGCAGGTCCTGTTCCCAATCCCAATGGAATAAACATTTCTTAAATATATACTATGCTTAACACTCAGTGTCACCAAAAAATTGTTCTTCCATGTCGCAGAGGGAAAAAAATGAAGGTTCCGAGATACGGCCTTGTTCAGGGTCTCCAAGTGTGGTACGAAAGCTTGTCTGTCCAGGGCGCTCCCGCTCCTCCAGAGCCTCAGGTGGCCCTTTCTGGGGGGAAAGTGGGGGGCCAAGTGATTGGGGAGCCCCAGGGCCAGGAGTTTCCACAGGTCCAGTAATGGAGGCAAAGGACCCTAGAGCAGTGGTTCTCAACCTGTGGGTCGCGACCCCCTTGGGGGTCAAACGACCCTTTCACAGGGGTCGCCTAAGACCATCGGAAAACACATATATAATTACATATTGTTTTTGTGATTAATCACTATGCTTTAATTATGTTCAATTTGTAACAATGAAAATACATCCTGCATATCAGGTATTTACATTACGATTCATCACGGTAGCAAAATTACAGTTATGAAGTAGCAATGAAAATAACTTTATGGTTGGGGGTCACCACAACATGAGGAACTGTATTAAAGGGTCACAGCATTAGGAAGGTTGAGAACCACTGCCCTAGAGTCTTGCTGGGGTAGCCTTCGAGAGAACTCATGTGATGTAATGCTGGGGACCACCTGAAGGGGGCAGGCGCAGCCAGGATCCTTCAGGAGGCCGCAAGGCCAACCAAGTAAATGGGTCCCTGCAATTTTCCACTTCTGGGCACTGCAAGCTGAACAGCAATTGCGCTGGGCACTGTGGTTTACCTGAGGACACTGGGGCCCAAAGCCATGATTAAGGGCTGGCCAAAGAAAACAATGAGGTGTTTGGTCCAGGGCATGTGTGAATCCATGAGGCTCACTCTGAAGCCAGAGTCTGAATTTCACCTGAGCCATCTGCTAGGCTTAACTCCTATAGACTCACTGGCTGACCTCGGCCCCTCCCAACCCCAGACTGTTTCCCTACAACACTGTCCAACACAAACAGCAAGCAGGGCTGTTGTTAGGTTGTGGGTTTTCCAGGTGGTGGGAGTGGGTTCCCATGGTAGGCTGCCTTCCCCTCAAAGATGACAGAGCCCTGGCCGGTATGGTTCAGTGGTTAGAGCATTAGCCCATGCATCAAAGGACTGTGGCCTCAATTCCTGGTCAAGGGTATGTACCTGGGTTGCAGGTTCAATCCCCAGCCCCAGTTGGGGTGCATGTGGGAGGCAACCAATGGATCACATGCATGTTTCTCCCTCCCTCCCCTCTTCCTTCCCTCTTTCCCTTCCACTCTTTCTAAAAATCAACGGGGGGGTGGAGGGGGGGGCAGGAGGGGGAATGACAAATTTTGTTTGCAGGTAGGAAATGCCTTTATTATTGGCCTTGATTCATTCACCATGTAGTGTCCAACGCGGATCACGTGTCCAGAAGAAGCCACCTGGTGCACGCAACTCCTTCCTGGCTCCGGCTGCCCCTCCAGTCGACACCAGGCCTCTGCCCATCACAGTAGGGAACCAACCCCACCATCCCCCGAGTTCACGCCTGAGGCCCCGAGGGACAAGACTGTCCCGGGATTAGAACCTCAGTCCCCCCCATCTTGGCCAGGAGGTTCTGTGGAGGACAGGCCAGAGCCTGGACAATCAGTCACTTTTTGGTTTCATGATCATTTAAAAAACAGAAAAGACAAACATTTCACAGTCTTTAAAAAATAGGAGTCTGAGGAGAGAGGCTGGAGTCCTCTGTCTGGGGAATCCCCGAGGCTCGAGCAGCCACATCCCTTGAGGTCTGCAGACCCGGCCACGGTGCCCCGGGTCCTGTCCAGTCACTGGCCTGAGCCATAGGGCCAGTTGAAGGTACTTCCAGACAGCAGCATGTCTCGAATCAGCGTCTCAATGGGCGTCTTGCCCACTAGGCGCATGAAGAACAGCTGGGAGATGAGGGAGGCAGGGACGGCACGCAGGGCGGGGAGCCGCAGCAGCAGGCGCCCGAAGCGCTGGGGTTGGGACGGGTACTGGGCCCGCACGTACTCAGTCAGGGCCACCTGTGCCTTCTCCTGTAGGCTCTCCACGTGCGCTGGATCTGAAAGGCCACAGGCATCTGGAAGGGCAAGGGCAAGGTCAGATGGGGTAGGACATGGCAGGACACAGGGCCCCAGGGGTGACTGGGGATGTGGATATGGAGGGAGAGGAGCATTCAGGGGGTGAGAGATAGGGACTGGGTCACAAATGGGAGTATCTAAGGCAGTGTTGGCTCTCAAAAGATACGGAGGTAGCCTCATCCGAGGACAGTAACACAAGGGTGCAGGCAATGATACCTCAAGGGTGGATGGGACCCCAACTGAGGCCTTGTCAGGGAGACCAGTTCTAATCAAGGGAAAGAGGGGGCTGGGACGCGGCCGTGGGGAGGAAGGCACGCCCCAGAGGGGTCTGGGGCTTGAGTGAATGTGACATTGTCTAGATGGGCCCCTTGAAGGTGGGGGTAGAGTCTTCTAGGGAAAGAAGGAAGGCAAAGTTGTATATTTCACATGGATGCCACCTCCCCGAATGGCCTAGGTCTGGTTCCTGCAACCCTGGCCCCAAGAAAACACCTAGTGGGTCTGATCCTTCCTGGTTACAGAGGCAGCTGTGCCAACAGTCCCTCGAATTAGGTAGTGCTTTGGCAGCTGGATGGTTACTCCTGGCAGGCGAGTATTAGGACAGCCTTGCCCCTCCTCAATGGGAAGGACCTCAAAGCCACACCCCTTCCCAATCCAGTCAGCCTCCAGGAGCCGGTTGGGGACTCTGGGTCAGGTCTGGGGTCACAGAAATCAGGGAGGAGGGGCCAGAATCAGATGTCAGGGGCCTCCCCACCCACCCCTGTCTTTGATGAAGGGATGGAGAGTGGGAGAGGGGGGTGTCTCAGGGAGCCCAAAAATCAGGAAGAGAGGCTGTGGAACAAGTTCAGACCCAGCCTGGGGTCTGGGGACCAGAGTCAGAGTTCTTAGGGAGACCTGGGATCTGGGGTTAGGGCATCAGGGCGCCACACCACCTATATCACCTCCTCCACCGCCCCATTTAGCACTCACAGCAGGTGCAGGCCACAGCCTAGCAGGCAGGGCATCAGAGAGTGAAGGGTCACCCCCCACCCCCAAAGAGTCCCCCGGCCCCGCCCCCGCCTTTGGAGCGCATCTTACCAGGTGTGAACAGCGCAATGGCCTTGAGGCAGCCATATTCTGCGGAGTCAACCTGCAGGCGGCCCAGCTTGTCCACCTGCTCCTGGAAGGCGCGCACCTGATCCATGAAGGCCACGGCGCGTTCGGCGGCCATGGGTGCGGCGTGCAGACCAGCGGCGGCCAGCAGCGGCGCCGTGTGCAGGGGCAGCGCGGCCTGCGCGGCGTTCAGCACGAACAGCTCGCTCCAGCTCAGGCGCAGCAGCGCCACCTGGTCGGCGACGGGCAGGTCGGGGAAGAAGGGCGCGTGGCGCGCCCACTCCACGGTGCTGAACAGCAGCCGCGCCGCCAGCTCACACACGTTGTCGATTCCCAGCACGGCGCCCGATGAGCCGCCGCCTCCGCCAAAGCGCCCCGCCGCTGCGGGGTAGGGCTCCGCACGCAGCAACTGCGCGATCAGCTCCGACACCGGCTGCCCCGGGAAGAGGTCCCCGCCTGCCACCGCGGCAGCCAACACTGAGCCCGGGGGGCTGCCTGAGGAGGCGGCCACAGCGCCAGGCAGAGAGTGCGGGATGCGGCCACGCTGGACCGCTGCGAGGGGGACAGAGATGGGCAGAAGGGAGGGGAGAGGGCAGACAGGAGATGGAGAGGCAGGAGAGGGGAGAAGGGATGAGGGGTGAGGAGGTGGGGGAGGAATGATGAAAATGGTAAGGGGGAGTGTGAAGGAACATGGGGAGGGTAGAGAGGGGGGGAGAGGTGCCAGGAAGGAGGAGGATGGAATAGGGGGGAAGCGGATAGATATCCAGAGAATCATGGGGGCAGGTAGGGAGAAATAAAGGGGAAAAGACAAAGTGATCAGAGGGTTACTCAGCCGCTCCCCTCTAAAAGCCCCCACACCTAGCCTTTCCCTAAAACCCCACCCCATGGGCACACAGCTTATTGGGAGGCCAGGGGTTCCGTCCTGCAGCCACCCCCCAACCTGCTCCCCCGCTCTGCCCTGTGCCTCCAGCCTGAGCCCCCAACCCCACCCAACTTCCTACAGAGGAGGACCATGGTGGGGGTACCTTCCCGGGTGGGAATGGGACCACTGGGTGAGGGCGAATTTCAGGCATGCCTGGCCCTCTCCCACTGGTCTGTGTGAGCTCCAGTCAGCAGCCAGGGAGGCTTGACCTGTCAATCATGTCCCTGTCAATCATGGGAGTCCCAGAGCTGAAAATGGGGCCAGGGAGGAGGTATTTTCCTAGGCCTTGGGACCCTGGCCAGCTTGTCCCTAAAGCAAGTGATCTCTCCTATGGAGATGGGATCATTTCTCTAGCTCCCAGCCCCGCGTCCCAGGTCATGGCCCCCAAGAGGATGTGTCTGTCTGGGTCACTGCAGCTGCCCCAGTGCTGAGAATGGAATCTTAGACAGAAGTAGGTGCACAATAAACATGAGCTGCCATCAGCAGTCTTGACGGGGAGGAGGTAGAGGACTCACTGCTGGCCTCAGCCAGTGTGCCCAGTGACCAGGGAGGTGGGAAGAGCGGCAGACTAGCCTGGGTGCCAGGCAGAGACTGGGCTTTACTGAGTTGGCAGGCCCTGTCTTGCCACCTCCATGAACTTCTGGTCAACCTGCCATGGAGCAGATGGGGAGGGGGACATGGGTGGGAGCCAGGGGCATAAGCAGATGGGGAGGAATGCCGAAATGGGTAAGGGGGCGTGTGAAGGCTTGGGATGAGCCATGCTCTGCCCTCAGAGGTTGGGGACCTTCTCCTTCCCCCTTTGCTCACTCAGTTCTAAACCCCACCCCCACTATTCCTCCATCCCCTGACCATGTTCCCACCTCAGGGCCTTTGCACTTGCTATTCCCACTTCCTGAGCATCTTTTCCCCAGTCGTCCTCCTCATTCGGCCCAGAATGTGCGGGTTCGAGCCTAAACCATAACTCTACTGCTCTCATACCCTGGCAAACGGCCCACCTCCCTGCTCTGCTTGGTTTCCCCCTCTGTAAGATTGAGGAGATAATAAAGATGATGACACCAATCACTGAGTTACGTAAGAATCTATCTAACGGGCTTAGGACGGCACTTGGCACATAGTAAGGGCTAAGTGAATAGTAATTCAAGACAAGAAACATTTACTGAGCGCCTTTTGTGTCCCAGGGCCTGGTCTATAAGCAGTGGGGATGTGTCACAAACAAGACAGAAGTCTTCCTCCTCAGAGAGGGGACATTCTAGTAAGGGAGCAGGTAAATTGCAGAGCGAGGTAAATGGTGTGAAACCAAGGAGGAGGATGAAGGGCAGACAGGAAGGCTTCTCTGAGGAGGTGCTATTGAAGCAAACCTTAACGGCAGGGAGGGAGGAAGCCAGGCAGGTGTCTGGGGGAAAAGCATGCCGGGCAGAAGGGAGAGCCCATGCAAAGGCCGAGGCAGGATGTGCCTGGGACATAAGCTGCAGTTATGACGGTATCCACTCCTGAGACGGGAGATCTGAGGCCCTGATTTGAAGAACCGACGGGTTTTAGGTCAAATGGACAAGTGGAGGCAAATCCAGGTGGGGAAGGAGGCAGGACAGTCACCTCAAACTTAAAAGGACCAAAGGGACTGATCAGATGGTTTAAGAGACATAGTTTGAGCAGCCATTCCTAGCTTCTTCTAGAAGCCCGGCAGAGAAGAAACCAACTTTAGATCAGGAAAAATTCCATTTCAATGCAGGGAAGAACTGCTGGCCTGGCCCCTGAGAGTCCAGGCAGAAACATGACACCCAGCATGGGGTCAGATCTGTTCTAGAACCCCCGGGCTCCTGGTGGAAGCCTCTGCATTCCACTTCAATTCTAAGGGTGGAGTTCTAGGCCAACTGCCAGCATATATCCACCCAAGTCCCCGGGGCAGAGACAAAAGGCTGGGCCTCCCTCCGGCTCCCAGGGCCAGGGGTCAGGCGGAAGGACAGGCTGCCCTTTGACTTAATCAGACAAGTTCCTGCCTTGGGCAAACATAACGCAGGGTGGAGTGGGAGGGAGAGAAAGTCAAATAAAAAAAATATGTCCTTGTTCAGAAAGAGGTGGCCAGGCTAGGGGACAGGGGCAGGGAGGTCACTGAGGTGTCAGGGCCAGAGTACCTGCCTCTGAGGCCAGGGAGGCTGGAGAACAGTCCTAACATGGGTCCGTCAGGGCATCCCTTGCAGCCCCAGCTCCTGCACAGCCACAAGGCAGCCACGGGTAATTGGATTCCTCAAGCCCTGGGCCCAACTGAGACCCGTGGGATCTCAGATGGGTGGTAACGAGATTAGCAGGCACCAGACCCCAAGAGAGGGAATGAGGGCAGGCCATTTGTCTACCCTCTGTCTGCCCCGCCCCAGCAGACTCACCCTCCTTCCTCATGCCCACCCGGAAGCACTTCTTGAGGCGGCAGTATTGGCACTGGTTCCGGTGATGCTGGTCGATCTGGCAGTCACGATTAGACCTGTGGGCATGCAGAGGTCACCATGTGGGTCCCTGTGACACCCACATCCAGCTCCTAAAGCTACCCTCTGAGCCAACTCTGAAGGCTGCACCTGGGAAACACTGGTACTCCACCCACCCCAGGCTGGGTAGGTAGCCCCAAAGGGGCACCAAGGTTACGCCTGCAGGTCTACAAAGAGGAAAGGACAGCCCAGCTGGCATGGCTCAGTGGTTGAGTTTTGACCTATGAACCAGGAGGTCATGATTCGATTCCTGGTCAGGGCACATGCCCAGGTTGCGGGTTCGATCCCCAGTGTAGGTGCAGGAGGCAGCCATTCAATTATTCTCTCTCATCATTGATGTTTCTATCTCTCTCTCCCTCTCCCTTCTTCACTGAAATTAAGTTATAAAAAAGGAAAGGAAAGGCAATTGGGGGTGGGTGGTGACAGATGAATAGGAGTCTATGGCAAAGTAGATTAGCACACCAGGGAGGGTTTATTGGAACTGGGTTTTGAAGGATGAATAGTTCCCCAGGTGAATAGAGAGTGCAAGGAGAGCAAAAGTTTGGAAATGTGAAAATACGGAGGCCTAAACAGTTTCATTTTATGTAGCCACTGACACACCAAGGGGTGCGGTTTTGTCCCAGGGGCACTGCGAGAGCAGAGAAGGTACAAGGTCAGCGAGCTGACGAACAGTAGAGGCCAGGCCAGAGCCAGTCCTCCACGGAGTCACAGCACTGTGGGGCCCCGGCATGATCACCCTGCATAAGGCCACCACCAATGAATGAATGAATGAACGAACTCCTGTCCTGCTTTAAGACCCCACACCCGTGTCTCTTCCTCTGGAAACACCTTCCAACTCCTAACTGAGCCCAAGAAACTTCTTTCTGGTGGCCCTCAGGGATCCTTGTTGCTTCTCCCAGGTATGGGACAGGTGGCCGGGCCCTGTGAGGCAGAGTCAACCCCAAGCAAGAGGATTCAGGAGCTTGTCCTTCATATGTCCCCAGCATCTCTTCCCCTGGGCCCTTGCCCCTCTACAACTCCACCCTGGTCCCAGGGCTCTCTGAGCCCAGACCTGGGGCAGATACCCCTGAGCTTCCAGCTGAGCACCAAGAAGTTCATCCAGAGAAAAATCAGAGTAAAACACTTACTAAAGTTAAAAATCTAACACCTCTCAGTTGAACATGCAGCCCTGACCCTCCTGCAGCAACTTCTCCACCAAGCCCGTTTCCTCATTTGGAAACAGGAGGCCAGAGGCCAGCTCCACATGAAATGCACTGGGTCAGGTGGGTGGGGCTGTCTGAGGGGCTCTGGGGGAGGTGTCAGGCCCCTGCCCCCAGGCCCCAGCAGGAAGTGCCAATAGCAGCTTTAGAAGAGCTGAGGCTCTGGAGAGCCTCCGAGAGCCTGGATCCTGCAAGTGGCAGCCTCTGAGCTCAGGCCTCTGCCCCTAAACAGCCCCAGCCCCCAGGAGGAGGCCCTGCTAGGGCGGAGGGAGCTCAGGCAGAACCAGAACAAAGCCCAGCAGGCAGGCAGTGGGAGGGTCCTAGGCAGCAGGCTGGGGGCAGCCGGCTGGAAACAGCCAAGCCTAGGGTGGGTGGGCAGGCAGGCAGGGGCCCAGCTCAGGGCCCTGACCTCAGGGGAGGCCTGGAACCTTCTGCTTCAACTTCCCCAGCTCTGGAGTCAGGACAGCTTTCCTGGTCCTCCAGATGGGGAAACAGAAAGTTCAATGATCCACCTAACAAGCACATGCTTGGCTCAACCCGGGGCCCAACTGAGCTTCCTCCCTGGACTTCTGGCTTCCAGTTCCATTTGATTAGAGCCCTCCCTTGCTCACACCCTCCACTGCCCCCTGTGGCCCTCAGTCCAGCATTTCAGGCCCACTCAGCTCTTATTTGTCTCCCATGCCTGGGTGGTCTCATCTTTCAACAATGCTCCCCCAACCTGCCACTGCGAGTCTGCCTGGACCAAACCCTCCTGCTTTAAGGCCCATCCCGCTGCCCTCCTCCAGGCAGCCCTCCCTGACCCTCAGCCAGAGCCCCTTGTTCCCTCCTGGGACCCCAGACCTGTCTCTCCCTTTGGCCCAGCCCCGACTCCACAGGCCGGGTGCTTCTGCATCTCACTCCCTCCATCAGACGGGGAGAGGGCTGGACATGGAGCTAGAGTCTCTCCTAGGGGGCTGGCATCACACTACCCAGGATGGGCCCTGAGGAAACTTTACTGAAGGGCAGTGACTTCACCTGGTGACACAGCCCTGAGCTTCCAAAGGACCTGTCAGCCCCTAACAATGCCTCCTCTCCTCAGCCTTGGTGCTCCCACCCTCAGGGAACCTCTGGGACCTCAAAACCGCCTGAGCCCCTCCTTTGCCCTCCCCAAAGACCTGGCCAGAAAGCAGGCAGTTATTCCAGCAGTAAGAATGAGGCCAGTCTGGTGGCCCAGTTAGCACTGGAGGAGGGAGGAAGCCAGCTCTCTCTCTCTCTCTCTCTCTCTCACACACACACACACACACACACACACACACACACACACACACACACGGCCACGCCAGACAAGCCCTGACCCCAAACCTGGGGCCAAACTCCAGGTGCCCAGGGACCCACCCAGTAGCCTCTCCTGGGAAGGCCCTGACCCCAACTTGGCCACCCTTCCTTCCCCACCCCATCGTCCACCTTACTAAGCCCCAACTGGGGCAGGGTCTCTCCTTGGGTGATCCAGAACCGACACCAGGACCTTTCTGAGCCTCAGTTTTGTGCATATGGAAAGTGGGGCTCCCCGTACTGGTTCTGCAGAGCCCAGGCATGTTCATGTAGGCTCAGAGTAGGGACTGATCAATGGAGTGGGAAAAAGGTTCACCCAAGAGTGGTGGGAAGGGGACCCCGGCTGGGCGAAGCCCCTCAATGGAGACTCCAACCCAGCACAGCCCAGGCCTTCTCAGAAACATACACCCCCCCAACCCCCCGCCCCAAGTGGGGCCACCTAAGTGTCAGGGATTTTCCAAGAGCCCCAGGTCTCATCCCACCCCAGGCTGCTGGGGCGGAGCAGCAGAGGTGCGGTCAAATCCAGCCGCCCTCCCCATCCTCCCCTCCTCCAGCGTGGTTTCCGGTGACCCAAGGTCCAGGGTGAGCCCAGGGCGGGTGCCCACTGATAGGCCGGCCCAGTTCCCCCACAATAGGGTCCTCCATGCGAAGGCGGCCGCCCTCTGCCACCGGGGCCTCGCTTTCGTCAGGGCCTCCCTTGGCCAGAGCGACTTTGGAAGTGATATTTGACCCCAAGGGCGCGCCGTATCGATCCCTGCGGCCGCAGACAATGGCCCCTGGAAGCTTCGAGCAGCACAGTCCAAGTTCCACGTTCGATTCCCGCGGGGGTCCCTGCACGACGATTCCCAAGGGGTGTCCTGGGGTTAAGGTCCCACCCTTACAGCACCCCAGCCCCTCTTCCCACGGAGATGACCCCTCTCCGGAAAAAAAAAGGCGAGGGGCGGAGGAGGAGCAAGGAACTGGGGCGGCAGACGCCAGGGGACCACCTGATGGGAGGAACTGCATCCATACTGCGCCGACTGTATACACAATCCCAGGAACGGAACGGAGAGGGGGACAGGGGGCTGTGCCCTTATCTCAGAAGGGGAGTGGAGGCCCAGGAAGGTCAGCGCCAGGCCCAAGGTGACCGAGCAGGTCAGGGCCCAGGCCTGGCCTGGTTCGGCCGGGTGCAGGCGGCGGGGCGGGGCGAGGACAGGGGGCTCACCGGCAGGTGTAGCTGAGGTTGCGGCGGATGCTCCGCTTGAAGAAGCTCTTGCAGCCCTCGCAGGTGAAGACGCCGTAGTGCTTGCCGCTCGACTTGTCCCCGCACACCACGCAGTCCACCTGCAGCCCCGGGCGCTCCTCGTCGCCCGGCTCCGCGTCGCTGGCGGCGCCGGGGGGTGAGGCCGAGTCTTCCTCGGCCGCGCGCGGGTAGCCGCCCGCCTTGTCCACACCGTTCGTATCGCCGCCGCCGGGGCCGCCCCAGCCGCCGGTCACCATGGCCATAGCCCCAGGGCAGCGGGGCCGGGGCGCCCCCTCCGCGCTCCTCCCGCCGAGCACCCCTGTCGGCCCGGGGGGACGCTACCCGGTGCGCATCCGGTCCCGGCGCGCGGGGGGTACCGGCTGCACCCCCCAAAAAAGTTTTGCAGCAACTTCCTGCGGCCGGTCCGCCCGCCCGGGCGGAACTGGTCGGGCCGGTTCCAGGCCAACTTTCCCACGCGTGCGCGGGGCCGGGCCCGGGGGAGGGGGGGGCACGCTAGAGGCGCGGGCCGGGGGCCCCGGGCACTCGCGCCCCGCCGCCCTGGGGCCCCGGCGGGGGCGCGCGGGCCATGGCTCGGCCCGGGCTGCACAGGGGGCGCCCTCTGGCCTGGCCGCCTCTCGGCCGGGTGCGGCGGCCAACTTAGCGGGCCGCCATCCGGGCGCAGGAGGCCGGGGGGAAAGTTTGGCCGCAAGTTGCGCGGCCGCCCGCGGCGAGGGGGATGGGCGGCGGGCGCGCAAAGGGGCCGGTCGCCGCGCCCCCTGGGTCGCCGGGGCCCCCCGGCGGCCGCTCGGGGCCTGCGGGGCCGCGGGCCGGCGCTTCCCGAGCTGCCGCCCCCGCTGCGGCCGCACACGCCAGGCCTGGGCCTGAGCTTGGGCCCAAGCCTCGCTCTCGCCGCCGCCGCCGCCGCCGCCGCCGACCCCGTGCGCCGGCCTCGCGCTGCGGCCGGTTTGACACACAACGTTCCATTCGCGGGGCGGGCGCGGGGCGGGGGCGGGGGCAGGGGCGCGCGCCGCGGGCTGGGGGCGGGCGCTCGTTGCCCCGGCGACAGCCGCCCTTATAAGGGCATGGGTGGCCGTGCGCGGCGCCCGGCGCGGGCGGGAGGGGCGAGGGCGGAGCACCGGGCCGCTCAGCCTGACCCTTCCCCTCCCTCTCCCCCTGCGGGTCCCCGCCCCGTCCTCGCCGGCTCCAGCCTTAACCCCTGCCCGGCCGCGGCTGGAACCCGGGCAGCAGCTGCCCTCAGCCTTGCCGCAGCCTCGCCCAGACACCTTTTCAAGGCCCTCCCCTCCACCTCCTGTTTTGGAGGTTGCCTCGCTCCATTGCCCTCCGGGCGCCGCTCGGAAGCCCCACATTCCCGGCATAAGCAATAACGGGGGTCCAGTTGCAGCCGGGGGGCATGCCCATATGCAATACACGCGCACGCGCGCCCGCGCTCACACCCGTACCCCCTGGGGCATTGCACAGTTGCAAAATGGATTGTGTTTGCTTCCTCTTCCAGTAAGTCGCCGCGTCCGACCCCCACCCACCCAGTCTCTGCTTGGGCGAACACCTGGTGCTCGGAATATCCAGGGGGAAGGGATGTGGCGGTGGGACGCGAGGTCAGAGGGTCCCTCGCCAGAATTTTTGGCCTTTGGGAGCAGATCGCCCACCGCCCCGCGAGGTTAGAGGCGACAGGAACGCCCACCACCCCTACCGGGGCCTGCCCCTTCCCCTTTAATTTCCTTTTTTCCTGTGCTTTATAGAAAGGGCTTGGCCAGGCGGCCGGCTGGACTGCAGATGTCTCTCCCAGGCTCCCGGAGAGCTCTCCTCCCAGCTGCCGTCTGCCTGCAAAACCTCCCACAACCCCACCCAGACCCTGGACTAGGGCCAACCAGCATTTATTAAACACCTTTTGAATGCTCCCAGGCTGCTTCTGGCAAGAGAAGCAGGAGCCCCTAGCTCTGGGCTTAACTGTTGACGTTTAACCGGCTGGAAAAGCCCTTCCTTTCACCTTTCACCTTGGAGTCCCATAGGTCCAGTCGCCAAGCCTTTCTCCTGCCCTGCCCTACCCTGCCCAGAGCCAGGCACGAGGCCATGTGGCTGGGCTTGTGCGGGCTATAAAGGCAGGAAAGCAGTGCCCTCTGTCCCTGAGGCTCCAGTGCCCTCCCTTCTTGGGAAAGCCCCCCATCCCCCTCCAGAAAACATCTGAAGAAGCATCCTGGGAAGGAGGGGGTTGCTTAGAAATCTTGCAACATTTAAAAGGATACCAAGGCCCGGGGAAAGCCAACACAGTCCTCCAGCTCTGGGACTCTGGGCCTCCCAGGGTGGGTCGGGCTGGATGGAAGGTGGGGAAGGTTTCAACAGGTACAGAGAGCAAGAAGGACTAGGGTTAGACATGAGCAAGGACTTGCCATGCGTCTAACTAGAGTGGACTTCTGCCCTGTAAGCCTTGCTGGGGGAGGGGGACCTGGGCGGTTAGAGAGGACCCTTTGGTTCTGGGGCTGCCTGGGAATGATGTGGGGGTGCTGACTAGTTATTTGGGGTGAGGACAGGGATCCCAGTTCCCTGGCCTAGATCTTCCAGGATCCTTGATGGGGGAACAGGGGTTTCAGAAAGGGAGACTTAGAAGGGAGGGAGAGAAGGATCAGGAAAGGGAATCAGAGTGGGGCTGGGGAAGGGAGAAGGCAGGGAATGGAGGTTTGAGAGACACAAGTCTGGGGCAGGGGGGCTCAGAAGTGACTGGCTGGGGCTGGATTGGAGACTAAAGTTAGAAGATCTGCTGCAGATCCCAGACCCTCCAGTAGGTCCAACCCCAGGCGGCTGCCCTGCCCCCTGCCCAGCTCCACTGGCCATGCACCCCCTGGGGCCCCGCCTGCAAGTGGGGGTAGTCGAGGTCCAGATCCGCCCCCCTGACCCCTGCCCGTGGCCCCGCGGTGACATTTGACCTTGTGGCGGCTGAGGACCAGGGACAAAGAGGTCTGGGCCCATCTGCCGCAGGGGCACCCGTGGGAACAGCCAGACCCCGCTCTGGGAGGCCTGGGAACCAGCCCCTGCTCCCTCCTCCAGCGCAAACTCCTTCCCCACCCCCCAACAGGTGACCTTGTCTCCTTTTGCCCCCTCCCCCACGGGCTACCAGGTGGGACTGGGGGCTAAGGTCATTCTTGGACTCTTGGGAGGTGGGGAGGACAAGAAGGTTGATAAGGTTGGCTCCTCTGCCCACCGCACGGGCGACATTGCCCGCCTCAGTTTCCCTGCTGTCTTCCAAGCCTGCCTCCGTCCAGAGACAGTGCTCAGGGGTCTGAGGGTCAGCAGCCCCAGCACTCCCTGAGGCCTCTGTGGATCAGGAAGACCGGGTGCAGGCCCGGTCGCTGACTGACGCTGACCTCAGGCCTGTTTTGCCTTCCCCAGAGGCGGTCACCCGACACACACCAGCCCAGGTGCGGCCTGGGGAACGCCCCCAGCACCAGGCAGAGAACGAAAACCTGGCTAATCCCCAGTTTGGGTTTCAACTACCGCCCAGGAGGGGACAGCTGGCTACTAATCCCAGCCGGCTGGATCCAGCCCAGCCCTCCTTTTGCAACCCGGCCAAACCCGGTTGGAAGCGCGGGGAAGTGTGGCCTATGCAAATGAATGCTAATTAGATGCCTGTTATTAACCTGACACTAACACCTCCCACAGCTCCCTAGCCGCCTGGTGAAAGCTGGGATTTAGCCATCCACGTTCTCTCGGGCCTTGTGTTCACCATCAGCAGCCACTCTGAGCCCCTCAGCGCCTGCACTATAGGCCCTGAGTCTCTGCGCTCAGGTTTTTAAGCCCTTTGCCTTAGCTCCGCATACTTGCGTGCAAGTTCCAAAGCGGCACCTGACTCCTCCTCCCCCAACCTGCACCCCGAGGGCAATGCCCTTCCAGCAAACATTCCACACCCTGAACCTTGGGGGCCCCAGTCCTCCTGGGACTTGAGCATCTTCCTCCCGAGAGCATTTGCCAGGCCAAACCTAGCATCTCCCAAGGGGGTGGGCAGGGGCAGGTGTGCCCTGCCACCCCCCACGCACACACCATGGACCCCTCCCTGGCTCCTGGAGACAGGCGAGAGTTGGAATTGCAGCTCTGGCTATGTAACCTCATTGACCCCTGAATCTCCCCAGCCAGCCCTGGGACCCTGTCCCCCCCGCCCGGCCCAGGCTGCCTCTAGCATGACCCTGGCTGACCCCGTTCATATGCCCCATGGTGCCAGGCGGAAGACACCGAATCTTTTTCAAATGCTGGCCAACAACCCATCAGGACCCAGACACCCACGTAGCCTCATCACACCAAGCCAAACACCCATCAACATGCAAAGTCAGACCACATGACGTCACTCCAGGAGATTTATGACAGGGCCTGCCACCACCGTCTGGTACATTTAGACACAGCCAGGCACAGGGCCTACAGAAAGGTCTCCCCCGGCCCGGGAGGTGAGCGGGATGGCCTGGGCCTGCCCAGGACTCTTGTGGTGGCTTCTAGCACAGCCAGCTCCTCTGCGTGTCTGGCCTCCAGTAGTGTCACCTGCTGTTCCAGCTTTCTTCGTTGCTCTTCCTGCTTCCGTTGGGCTCCTCGGAAGGCCAGAACCAGGGCTCTGGAGGGGTGAGGGAGCTGAGCCAGGATATCGTCCCCCACCCCGCCCAAGATGGGGGCCATGTATTTCCTGACTGGGATCCCATTGTCACTCAGTAGGGGCTGACACAAACCAGGGCCGAGGGAGGGGTAGGATGGGCTGAACGTGCAGCCCACCTTATAGGAGGGAAGCTGAAGCCCATATAGAGCGAGGAATGCTTCTGAGATCACCACGGGCAGGCGGGGACCCACCTGTGAGCCTTACATAAGTCGTTGTTCAGCTTGGCACTCTGAGCACGCCTGGCTCGTCCCTTCTTAGCGACCTGTTCCAGCTCTTCCCGAAGAAACTGCAGCTGCTCCCACAGGCCCAGGGCCCTGGTGCAGGAGTGAGGAGGGAAGGGCTCACAGCCAGAGCCAATCCTGTCTTCCTTCTGCCCACCCACCTGCCCACACTGTTTCCACGGGAGCACACCTGTACACAGGTGCACACCCAGGATACCGCTGCTGTACACAACCCGCCCCTCCCCACGGGCTCTCTCATAGGAACCACCACCACCCTCTCAGGCCAACCATCCCCCAGCCCAGGACCCAGGCACACACCGGGCAAGTGATGCTGACAGTTCCTGAGCTAGGTCCTCCGGGTCCTGCACCTGCCCCACCTGGCCTCCATCAATGCCCCTGCTGCCTCCAGGGACCGCAGGGCCCTGAAGGAAGCAGAGGGGAGGGACGTGACATTGGCCTAGGCCAAGTGTGTGCTGAGTTCGAGCTGGATGTTGATGTCCAGACTGGTAGCGATAGTCCTTTGCCCTCACAGCGCTTCCAGTCTCATGAGATGCCACAGTAAGGGTAAAATTACTCCCTAACAAGGGAAGTAAATAACACGAGACCT